TGGTCTCGTCTTTGCGGAGGCCCTTCAACGCGGTGACATATGTGCGAGGGATCGCCGGGGGGCGCGAAGACGAATCGGCCACACAGCAAGCAGTAATCCCTTGGATGAACCCTTTGTCGATGTCAGTATCGGTCCAGCGGTGGTTCGAGACAACATAGTCAATCAAGTCTTTGCTGTCCTTCCCGGTGCTGAACTTGAGTCCAAGGGAGAGAGCTTACTCTTCCGTGCGGGTAATACGTTTGGAGGACATGTTCTCTAAGATCATTTCGTCCAGCTTTCGACCATCTACTCATGCTACATATGCAGTGTAATTTCTCCTTATGTTTGGCTCGTTGAAATTGATCTTCCTGTTGTAGTAGGAGGACCAGCCCATGGGGTAGGTGTTCGCCCTCGAGCTCGTTCCGGAGTTCGTAGAGTCGATGTTGCAGGGTCCTAATGGCCTCCACAAGGAAGGCCCGAGCACTATCAGGGAACGAATGCTCGCCGGATTTTAACTGGCTCGAAGCTGAAGGTGGCAATACTTGCTCAGCCAAGCAGTCCATCAGGAAAACAACGTCTGTGGCCGATTCGTCTTCGCGCCCCCGGCGATCCCTCGCAGATATGTCACCGCGTTGAGGGCCTCCGCAACGAGACCATCGTCATCACCCAGGCTGAAAGGGGGGGGGGTATTTTTGTTATATACACAAAATGAACATTTTACTTTCCGATGCTTCTGTTTACAGGAAAGTGACGAAGGGCGATGGGAGATGGAAGCTGCCAGATTCAAGAAGGCAAGGGATCTACTTCTGCGGTCGGCTAAGGGGAAAGGCTTGCTTACCTGCTAGAGGAGGCCCCCCGCAACTGCTTCCATGAAACCCCAGGCGATCAGCAAATACTTTGGAAAAACAGTGAAAATCGCCAGCACATCCGGGGAAAAGATACACGATATGATACGAGACAAGAAGCAGTTGAAAAGCAACCCAACAGTGCAGTATATCGCATACCCTGCAGCGGTTGCGATAAGGCCTATTTTGGTGAAACGAGACGAGAGCTTCAACACCAGGATCATCGAACATCGAGCCGACGTCCGTCACCACAGGACTTCCAATGCCATGGTAGTTCATGTAGATGAAGCTGGACATCTACCGAACTGGAAGGAAGCCGAAGTAATCTATGAAGGATTGAGTAAACATAAAGGAAGGTCATGGAAGCTGCATACATCGCGACAGAAAAGATATGAATACCACATCAGGCAGGTTTTAAAGTATCCAAGGTCTCAGCTGCAATTATGCGCGTAACGAGTGCGAGGTCACAGTCGTCAGGTGATTTACCAGCTCCCATGTAGTATATATATGCTATGTATTTTCTCTACGTATGTATTTCTGATGAAGACGTAATCGAAACCGGTCAAATACATCTCTTGTGTTGTGAAGATATCCAGTCTCATTCATACCTTTTCTACATGAACCTATATATGATCATGATCAATTACACGAACACGTAAATTATTGAGCGGAGAAATGGATACCGGAAATTTAATCAAATCCATGTAAATGACAAATTAATAAATCATCTAATGTGCAGACATGATCATTAAATAAATTTGATGGTAATTAATCGAAAACGTTGAAAACGAGTGACCAGTTTTAACGTAGACTATTTTAATATTAGAACGTCGGGCACACGACCAAACGAAGACCCTACAAACACAAACACACAGACACAGACATACACATATGTACATATATATATGTGTATGTATGTGTGTGTGTGTGTGTGTGTGTGTGTGTGTGTGTGTGTGTAAATGTATAAATGTATATATATATATATATATATATATATATATATATATATTATATATATTATATTATATATATATATATATATATATATATATATATTTATTTATAATATTATTTATATATATATATATATATATTATATATATATTTTAATATATATATATATTATATTTATATTTATATATATTTAATATATATTTATAATATATATATATATATATATATATATATATTATATATATATTCTAAATATAATGTGTGTGTGTGTGTGTGTATGTATGCCCTGACGAAGCATTAGCGAAAAGGCTTTCGGCATATTCGTGTGTTTTTCTTTTCTTCCCTTCGTTGTTCCAGTTGCAATCTGTCGTTCGCCATGAGTTCCACACATATGTATGTATATACAGTTCGAAATTATATTTCAGTACACTTGCTGATCCAACTTTTGTACATCTGGCAACTAATCGAAGTAAACATAGCGTAAATAGTATTTTCGTGAATGAGGCTAAAACCCTAGGTAGTTTGTAACAAAGAGTGTGATTGGTCGAATGCAAATAACCAATTAGTGTATTAATGAATATTTTTGGAAAGTAAGTAAGATATTTGATCTTTCTTTTTTCTTGAAATAAATGATAACAAGACATGTAATATTATTTATAGGTGACTTTGTTGTGGATATCCTTCAAATGCGATATCCTGGAATTGTTTGTTTATCGAAATGGTAATACCTACGGTGGAGAGGCGGCATTCCTCTTACTTTCAACATAAGAAGTATCAATTATAGCTGCATATTTCTGGAAACACGAACACGTTTTATGTTTTAGTCATCTATGTATGGTAACCAAATCTGCTAAAAAAATATATCTGTTTAATCACTCAGACCTTTGTAAATGTTTATAGTGGCTGCACCATCTCGTAGCGACTAATCGAACTAATGAAATGATTTTTTTTTTTTTATGCCAGAACCAAATACTTGTTGAATAAACAGAAACCATGCTACATTACACCCTTCAATATAGAAACATGAACTAAACACAAATCGCATTGAGGCTGCAGTGTATTTATATATGCGTTAATATTTGTGTGTGTGTGTGTCTACGGAAATACAAAGTCATACTTGGTGATGAGTTCCAAAAGAGGATGTATAATCAGTTATTATTAAGCCATAAGCCTAGTCGTTTTCTTTGATGAGCCGCACCATTTCGAACAGCTGAGCGAGAAAATACATGTTTTGCTTGTTTCAACTCTAGCAACTACTAGCCAGGTGGTTTCAAAGAGGGTGAACAGCCAAAATCGAAGAGCCGACTTCCAATACATGTGCTGTATATCTTGTTGTCTAATGAAAGGGGAATTTCTGGTTTTTCAACTATTTTCAGTATCCATTCTTTGAAATATAGTATATGCGTAGGTGTAGATGAAATTTGCATATAAAACCTTTATATCAACATCAATATCTTTTATACATTATCTTATAATAATTTCCTGGTGATGTGAAAACAAGTGCTGTCAAGCTGACACCTTTTTCAGGTCGGACGCAAGATAAGTTGAAGTCACAATAGAGGCTGCTACGATGGGGCGAAGGAAAGTAATATCTCTCTAACTGATATATTCAGAGAGCTGGGCATCTCCCAGACGATGGCATACAGGTAGTTAAGATGGGAGGAGGAGGGGCACCCATAACGACCGGCCGCGTTCACCAACGCAACCAATATTCATGAAGACCTACAGCTCCTGGCAATAGTCCTCGCGGTGAGGAAAACGACTACGTGCAGACGGGATAAATCACTGAACGTCATCAAAAAATGTTGAACAAACGACATCGCTAATGTCTCCTCCAGTTCGCCCAGCAGTATGTGGAGAAAAATCTAGATTACCGGGAAGAGTAATTACGACTGAGAAAAATACATCGAAATTTCAATTGCTGGATGGGATAACAGGCGTAAATGTTATTAACTCTTCAGTTTTTTTAGCAAATTTTATTTATTCCAATTTACGATACACATCTAATAGTGTCCTGTAGTCATATTTTCTGTTCCGATTCGGTATTATTGTATCATTAAATGATGAGTTGATTTATCACAAGGAATTTGCCAAAGCAATTTGTTTAAATTTTACTTACATTTGATTTGATTTATATATGATTTGGAGCATTATAACATCTTTGTGTAAGGTATTTGAAAATTACTGTGACCCGCTGCGCATCTCTCTGTTCTTTAGTAATGTTTTGATATAGTAACCGCCTGCACCTCTGAAGACTACAATGGGCCTTGCAGAGTGTGTAGGTTGTGTATATTTGATATTGATGATGTAACTTTTTGCAGGTTGAAACTTTTCCTTGTTGGTTCAATAAACCAAGTTACAACGCGTTGCTTGAATANTGGAACTGATAAAAAAGCGCTTTGACATATTCAGTGGTTTTTTTGTTCTTTCCTTCGTTGTTCCTGTTGCGATGTATATGTGTATATATATATATATATATTTAAATATATATTTAAATATATATATATATATATATATATATATATATATATATATATATATATATATTGTGTGTATGTATATGTATGTTTAAGTATATACACATACATCACAGACTTATTCAGATGGCAATCTCACATGAACTTTTTATTTTATAAGAATCCCCTATTCTATTTACAATAACTGCCTTTATAAATTTACCAGTTTTTATCCTTTAATTTTATCACATGTCCTAAGACAAATACTTCCGAATATGTAAAACAAATTCTTGTGAAATGATTCACATCAAATTAATTATACCTTTTTAGAATGGAATCTGTTAGTTCTTAGATACCCATATTCCACATTAAAATTCAAGCTAATATGACACGTTTTAAGGTGTAATATAAATACAAATGCATCCCGCAATTCCAAAAAAGGTTGAAAAATACATCTAAAAATTATAAATCAACCATAAACTTTATTGATAAAATCAGTATTACTATGCCAGAGTATTATAAAATAATAATAAAAATAAATTTACAAAATAAAAAAGTAAAGCAAAAAGAACTTGTAAACATGCCCTTCTTGAGCAAGACTTACTGTATGTGAATACCCTGGTACAATACATATATTTTCCCTATTCCAGAACTTTCATTGAGTTTCATTAATTTCCAATGTAAGTGTGTTGAACATCATGGAAGATGATGCAAGCAAAAGAAAAGTGAAACAAAACACATTCCATATGAAATATTGCAAACATTTCCTAAAACAAAAAGATCTTTAAAGCAATGAAAAATCTTTCCCAATAATTTTAGCACTGTAGTATATGGCTGGATAGAAATGCACAATGTTTGATCCAGCCAAAAAATTTCCTTTTTTCATTTAACACAATTATTCTATTCATATATCAAGCACTTTCCACTATATGTGGATGAAGTCTTTGACATTTTGCTGTGATGATTTTTTTGGGGGGAAAAGCTTTGAGGGAATCGCAAAGGGATATCACAAAATTATAACAATAATAAAAATAATAATGAGACTAATGATGGTAATAATAAAAATTTAATAATACACATTGTACTACATTAATTAGAAAAATATCAACTGATTAACCTTTTAGTTAATGAAAAAAAGAACATGCTGTTATCAGAAACCAGTCATAAAAATGAAGAAAATGGAATATAGTAGTGTTGACAAATCCTATCACTCACAAGTACACCAACACACACTATTACACTTTCACAACAGCATATTTTCTTGAATATGTCATCTCATGTCTACTGGCGTTATAGGATATCATAGTGCCAGTTACCATTTGTAATAATGAGCAAATGAAAAGGAAAAAGAAAATAAAGAAAAAAAAGTAAAAAAATCATATGGATCCATTAAACATGTATATTTGCCAAACCAGCTTGAACCAATTCCCTGGCTACGGCACATTAAAATTAGGAGTAGTTCCAAGACAAGAGACAAAGTACCCCACATGCAAGTGGGGCCACCTTCACAACAGGAACCATATACAACTCATATGTAATCTCAATTTGGACACCAAAAAGCTAATTTAGGACATATAGTTCTTACTTCTTGAGGTCATTAATTTTTTCAAGCAGCTCATCAGCATCGTCTGAGGTTTTAACCCGTATCAGCATCTTAACTGGCTCTTTAGAGTCTGACTTTCCATCTAGTGGAGGGTTGGGTATACAAGCAATGATCACCCCGTTCTTTCCAGCCCGAATGGTGGGGATTGACTTGTTAAGGATAATATTTAACAGAATGTTGCCCAAATTGGTGAATGCCCTCACTAAAAGCTGGGTTTTCTCTCCTGCTGGTTTCAGGAACAATGTGCCAACTCCCTTTTCCACAAAGGATCCATCATTCATATAAAATAATTTGCATTTCTTCTCATATAGGGCATCATCTTCTTTGACCTCATTAACCTCGACTTTGGGTGGCTCATCAGTTGGCTCATTCTCGTCTTTCTTTCCAGCATCAGCGGGTGTTTCAGATGTTGCTGCTGGGGTAGCACCAGCAAAGCTGAAGCCACCACTTTTTAAAGGTGATTTCTTGCCTGAATCAAAGACTCCAAAGGAAAATGCTGGTTTTTTTCTCTCCCTCATCATTTGTCTCCTTTGTGCTGGCAGCTGAATTCCCAAAGCTAAAGAGAGGTTTACTTGTGTCCGAGGTTTTTTCTGTTGAACTAAAACTGAAGAGCTTCTTGCTTGATTCTACTGTTTTTTCTGTTGTTGTTGTTGTAGTTGTTCCAAAGCTAAAGAGGGGCTTACTAGACTCTGTACTCTTTTCTGGTGATGTACTGACAGCACTTCCAAAGTTAAAAGCTGGTTTACTTGCTTCAGGAGCCTTATCTTTTGTTGATGATGCTGATGAGCTGCCAAAGCTGAGAGACTTTGTTGAGTTATCCTGTCCAAAAATTGGTTTATTTTCCTTTTCACTTGCTCTATTCTTCTCAGCATTGTTCCTACAACTCCAGCATCACTGTCATTCTCACTTTCAGTTTCAGGTGGATATTTCTTTTTTAATTCTTCAAAATGTTTCTTGTAATCATCAAAAACTGGTGCCAAATTTACATGAGGATTCTTATCAAGGTGCTGTTTAACCCACTGAAGTACACCTTCATTTAGTGCTTTAAGATTAGCTAGGAACAACTTGCTTGAGGAAGTTTTAGATGATGATGATACACCATTTGTTTTGGGTGTGTCTACACTTTTATTAACCATTAGTCCCGAGTCCTGTGTAAGTTTGAAAGGCTGTGTATTTTTCTTTTCATTTGAATCACTAACAGTTTTAACACTATCTGAATTAGTTTTGCTAAGGAAGTCAAAGGAGGGTTTCTTTGTGGAATCACTTGTAGAATTGGAATCCAGAAAACTAAAGGAAGGCTGACTCGATGAATTTGTGCTTCCGCCAAAGGCTGAAAATCCACCAAGAGTTTTAAAGATGCTAGGACCTGAGGGCGCCTCACCAACCATCCCTCGTCTACGGGCCTTCTTGATCTGTCGTGTGGCCAGCTGATCTGAAGAGGCTTGTCTGAATGTCCCAAACTCTTCTGGCTCCTCCTCCTCTGCCCAGTTGTCCTGGTTTAGTTCTGTTGCTGCTCCACGCTTGGCCATCTTCACCTGGAAATTGGGTAGACTAGTGAACATTTCATAATAAATCAAGCACGTCTAAAATCTAAATGAAATTGGTAATAATAATAATAATCTTCAATGTCACATTTTACAAAAGCCATAATGAATATCCATAG